GTCAGAATTGGTTCTGATACAAAAGGGCATTAAGTTTTGCTGAGTAACTTAGTGCATTAAGTTTTGCTGAGGAATAACTTAGTCAAGGTTATCCAAAATCTAATAGTTATCTCTGCTACATATAAATAACTTTCTCCTCCAATTTTTTCTTGAAGCAATCATGCAAAAAAAGTATATTGAAGAATACAAGGTATGTTAAAGAAACTGTACCTCGTATGGTTGCTTCCTTTGCTTGTAGGTTTTCGTAATTGTTTCAGTCTCCCAACACAAACCTACCTTCTCCTATAGCCTCCTAATGTAGACTTGTTAAAGCTTAAATATTAAAACTCAAGTTAAATTGGCTGAGATTTCAAAACTCACATTTATACATCTTTCAGCACACTGACAACCAGAAAACTATGGAAAAAGATAATTTATGTACTCATGGAAAGAGCAAAAAGATTTGAAGATAACATCACAGGACAAGCTACAAAGAAAACTCAAAGGGTTCCTATTCTACCCCCACCAAATGGAAAGATCATCTCTTCTGGGCAAATATCTAAGAGGAACAGTTTAACCTGTTCTCGAAAGTCATCAGCACCGGGAAATCCAAAACTATTCCAGTGCTTCACTATATTTATCATCAAAAAGTTTTTTGAATGACAAATATAAGCCCACCCTACAGAATTTTGAGTAGGAATAGGCCTCTCAGATCCCCAGCAGACACACGGTGGCGGGGGGGAAGCAGAATTTTTATTCCTTACAGCAACCTTCTTCATGTTTGAAGGCTGTTCTCACATCTTCCCTCTACCTTCTCTTCCCTAAACAAAAAATAATCCCCTGAGCTTTCCTCCACAGGACGTAATTTCCAAACCTTTGGGTCATTCTTATCACTCTCCAGAGGACTTTCTCCCACTGGAATAAACCCGACTTGAAGTTTTATGCTCCATGCTAGACTCAATGCACTCCTCTTACCTTCAAAGCACTGCCAGAACATTTACGGACTGTTTCACCTTCAACATGTAGAGCACTTTCATTTATGCATTGGGATGCACTTGCTTTTTTCTCTCAGAGAAGCATTGGTTTAGGTACAGTTCACTATCAATGTAATTCCTGATCTATTTTTTTTTTTTTCCTTCTCTTCTCGTCTCTGGAATTTCATCAGGAAACTCTGCATCTCCTCCCGCTGGTTAGTGCCCGTTGCGTCAGCCCCAGGACAGCTTCCAGAGGAATCCCAGCTCTGCACATCGCTCACGGTTGATAACAACTCACTGACAAGTACTCGGAGACTCGAAATCTGAGCAGTGCTGCACCCCTTTTAGCTTTATTAAAACCATATTTCTTTAGCTTGCTCAAGGATCTGTTATGTGAGATAATGTCAGAAGTCTCACTCGTGTCAAACTAACCAATATTCACCACTTCCTACAGTGCCTGYTACTTTGTCACAGAATTAAATTAGTTTGCGCTGATTTATTCTCGGCACAATCAATGTTGAAACTTCCATTATTCCCTTGATGTCATCTAGATGGTTTGGTTTTCCTAGAAGTTTCTTAGGAGCTGAAGTATGGCCAAAATGACTACAAACCCAATTTTTTTTTTTATTACTTTTTAAATCAAGCACAGCAGTACTGGCCGTTTTCCAGCCTCCAGGAATTCCACCTGTGCCCAGACATTCCCAGCTGTAACCAGAGGGGCTCACAGGGACTGCTGGAAGGAAATGTCATTGGGCTCAGCCAGTTCGGAAACATCTACCTTACCTGTGTTGATCCTTAGGATTGCTAGTTAGCTCCCCACCACAATTCCATGGTGGAGAAAGCAGTCATGGCATGTTCTTTGCCTTTAAGCTCTAATGTAACACAGTTTTCCTATTTTCCAGACCGGTACCTGAGAGCATCAGGACAAGACACAAGAACTCAGACATATATTCATTTCCATGCTAAATTAATACATTGCCTTATCATGCAAACGAGTCAGTCCCTTGCAAACTGAGTTGAAATGAGAGAAAAACACAAATTTCATTTCCAGGAAAATGCAAGGCACAACCTTTCTACACTTAAAGCACTCTAATACCAGTTTCTAAAGAGTTAACCATTGCAACAAGTCCTGAATATGCTTTCTGTAGGAAGAGCATTTCTTTTTCTTAGTTTGAGTTAAAGTATACGTTTATTCTACCATGAGATATTCCCAGTGCACCCATGAACCATGACAAGTTAAGGTCACTGAAATTCATTCTCAAGGCTCACTTTTTTTTTTTTTTTTTAACTAAAAATAACAGAGTTGGAATTTGTGGTCATGGTCAGACAGTGATAAAATTCAGAACAGATAAAGCCACAAGCAGAACTTTGAGAACTGCAAACTTCATTTTGTTGAAGGAGGAGAAATAGTACCATTTAATCAAAAGCACAAAGCATCAAGTGTTTGTTACAGTGAATAGGGAAGCCAACGCTCCGAGAGCACTGAAATTCAATGCAGAAGACGGTTGTTTTTCTAAACCAGAGCCACACTGCTGAGAGATGGAAACAAAGGAACACAACCTTCATTTGCCTAAAAATGCTTGTTATGAAAATACATCACCTGCAATAAGAGACATTTTACCACTGCAACACACAATAATAATACTTAGGACAGCGGTAGCGGTAGAAGAATTTTCAACTTAATCAGGACCATCTGAAAGTGCTCAGACACAGCAGGGGCACAACTGCATCTTACTCTCCCACCGCTTCAGCTGCACCCAACAAAGCACATCCCTGATAACCAAGAAGTTGGCTTATTATTTAAGAGATATGAATTTAGCTCTTAGCATAGTTTATAAAGTAAATAATCCTTTGCTGTGCCAAACTGCTTGGAGTCTATCCATAAAAGCTCTGCCAGTTTTATTTTTACTCTTGCTTCTCGTTCAGGGTGGATTCATAAGCATTACTCATGTTTGATTCAAATGTTTTAAAGGATATTTTGAAGTATTAGAGACTCAACAGACTTTTAAACAACTCAGCAGCATGAGAGCAAGGTACATACGCTACAGTCCTTAAGGTACATTTATCACTATTCCATTTGAAAGGAAAATTTGCTGTTTGTCCCAAATAGCATAGAATAACTTGAGTAAAAAAAGAGATAGTTCATCAAGGAAAACCCCCCTATACTGCCATGCACTACCTATGAGGAATGGATTTCAAGAGAAACACCCCTTTAAAYGCTCTGCTGTTTTAATAGGTTAGCATCTACCAAGAGAAGCTCTGTGACAGACCAAGAAGAGAAGCAGGCAGCAAAAACCTACCTCTGTTTTGTAAAATGGTCATGTTGGACTGGGGAAAATCCCATTTTGCTGAACAAATCCCACGGTCCTATCACCCAGAAGGGATGCAAAGGAGAACATGGGAATTGCCCTGCAGACCCTGCAGTCTGAAAGGAGGCAGGAGTTGAGCAAAGCTACATGGACCATGTCAGACACCACAGGAGCACTGAGGGCTTGTTAGAGCAATGGAGGGAGCTTACCCTGGGCAGTGACTGCACCCAGCTACAGTCTCCTAGTATGGCCCTGAGAAACCATGGAGAAACGTGCCACTAGGCTCACCCCCAAGCCAAGCCTTGCTTTTGAATGTCTCGTCTTGCCTGGATTAACTCGAGGTCTATGATTATCAATGACAGGGCCAGAAGAATTCAGCCTAAGCAAATCCAAGAGACAAGTGATAACAAAGTTTGCACTAAAACAAGACTACACCTTGGATCGCTCCCTGCATCGCCATTCAGCTTCTGTTCACAGAAAGGGAGGAACAGTTTGTAATACTCGGATACAGCACGCAGCTGCCTGCTGCAGGGCAGCAAACTATGGAAAACAGTCACAGAAAAGTTGGTTTAGGAGGATCTTTGGGGCTCTCCTGTCYGACCTCCCCTCTGAAGGACTATCAGCAATACTAGATCAGGACAGCTCTAGATTTGTTTAGCTTCTCCTTACAGATTGCATCAGCCCTGCTCCCTCTGTCCCTTCTCCTCGCACACACTCTAGGTTCCCAGCCACCTCGGCAGCCTCGGCTGGATGCTCTCCAGTTTCCCAGCATCTCTTTAAAACTATGAGGTTTTGGACACTGTACTTTGAGCAAGGTCTCATCTAAYGCCAAGCAGAAGGGGAAAAAACTGCTCTCAATCTGCTGGTCATGCTCTTCCTAACATAACACAGTATGTGGTTTGCCTTTTGCTTGAGCAGCACACTGTTGGCTCATATTTAATTTCATACTCAAAGATGTCAATTTATGATTCACACATTGGGTTTTTCTTTCTTTTTTTTTTTTTTTTAATAACACAGATTGAGAGCTAAACACCCAGAGGCTAGAATCCATTAAAGCAGATTTGAGCAATGCTTTAAACAAGCCATGGAAGTCAAAACCAGCATGGATGAGTAGAGGATAATACTGAAGGCCCCTGGAAATTCATATCACGGGGACTGTGATATGGCACAGGCAAAAATGCCATTACAATGTAGTTGAAAAACAGTCTGTTTGCTTCAAGGTCAGAAAGATGAGGTTGTGCAGTGGCAGGAAGCTTGAGAAACCTTCCAGTAGCACAATCCACCATGCCTTAGCAGAACTTTTCTAACAGGCTTAGGCAAACACAATCTGCTAATGTTGTGAGGAGAAAGCATCACCTCATCTACCAGATGGGGTAGATTTGCTCTTCTATTTTCTGAATAATTTCTCCCTCTAACCCAGAGGGGATAAAAATCAACAGWGCGGCAAAGCTACAAAGAGGCCCTGGGCAGGTCTCCTTCGATCACCAACTGCTCTGGTCTCTTCACCTTCTCAAAAACTAGGCATTTGGAGTCACCTTCACAGCAGCTGAGCTCCATCCTGTGGCAAGCCAGTTTGGTGGAAGGAGCCCATCCCTTTCGGCCAACATTTGTTCTCACACAAACAATTCTCAAGGGGTGACTGAAGGGTCGTGCAAACCACACGTAGCACCTTGTGACAAACGGGGCCTTTCACATGAGAGCAGCAAGAAACGAGGTGGTGAATTGAACCCCACGGTACCTGACTGGAAGACGTATCTGGCCAAGCCCTGCATGAGCTCAGCCGGCCACGTGGGTGGTGCCGACTCCCCCGTTTCTCTCTTTAGCCGAAACGTCAGTTCAAACCCGAATCCGCTTGGTCCATCTGYTCCGGTAAACCTGGAGGAAACAAAAAACAACCAGTCACAACACACTGCTTGCRAACAGAACAGGCTTCAAGAGTATGATCAAAAAAGACTAAGTGTTCTCTTCATAGGAAGGTAAGTTTAGAAATGTTCTTATTTCAGTCCCAGAGTTTATTTGGGAGCTTGAGAGGCATAGCAACATCAGGGGAGCTAACGTAAGCCCACTTCCAAGATCACTAGCCTAACTGYGTTTTCAGACAGAATAGCTCAGTCTTGGACACAGCATAGCTTTTTGCTGAGAGCAGTGGAATTTCCAGCAGCCTGATTCTGTTTTTAAAACAAATTTGTAAGTGTTGTACTGAGAGCTGCCCTAATTACACAGGCTGCTTGAAGGGGAACACCAAAGAAASTGCCCAAGAACAAACTGTTTTCCATATTGTAAGCAGGACAGAGCTTTAAGGACAGGACAGTAGGAAGCAGGGTTAAACAGTTGGGTGTTTCGTCATGTTAATGGTCAACAAGAAAGGTCAGAGGATGCAGACACAAAGTTAACAACCCTCCACACAATTCATTAATGCTGCACTTGCTACCACGTATCACAAACACTTTTTTTTTTTTTTTTATAAAAATACACAAGTGAATCTCTTTCCCCTTCATACAACTTCCAAATTGTTTGTTGATAATGTACCATAGAAGCGAGTTGACTGCAAACAGAAGAGATCACACATATTCAGTAACACCAACTAGTGGACATAAAATTTCTTTTTAGGGCACAAACGCACCTTTAAGCAACAAGCCAAATAATTCTATTTTGTTCTCAAAGCCAGGGCCTACTAATTAACTAATTAACCAGGCAGCCAAGGCCCGGGGAGCGGGTGTGGGTGCAAGGGAGGGCAGCACCCGCAGCCGGGCACCGGCTCTGCCACAAAGCTTCGCACGGGACGTCTGTGGCCTCAAATACTGACATCAACTTGGCACATTTAGCACCTCCTTAGTGTTTTATGTTTCAATGTTTTCACATTTCACTTCGTGAAGGAAAAATAGAAGCATTTCATAAAARGCAGAAATAGGAATGGCTCAAATTTTGTAGTGTCCAAGGAATGTTTTCAGGGGAAAAAAAAAAAGCAGGTATTGGGCCTGAAGTGCTTGATGGACACTTTTAAAAGAGATCAAAGTTAACACAAAGCCTTCAAGCTGATTTTAGACAGAATTTTTGGAAAGCAAAATGCCTCCCTATTGAATTACCTCCTTCTGAGGCACGTTCTGAAACAACATATTTTTACCCTAGATACGCGCTCAGCTAGAGAATTATTTATTTTTAAAGAACTCTACAGATTGCCCTGGTACCCAGAAACAACATGTGCGATAGCACTCATCCATGAGCAAGTTAACCCAGTGACAATCCAAGTGCCCAATGGGAATATCCACCAACCCTAAACCAGGAGGAGATTTCGGAGCTCACTGCTGGGCAGCAACGCGCCAGTGCTCACAAAGTGGTGGAACTGGGGGCCACGCTGCCGCTTGATTGTGTTAAGGCTAAATAGCAAGCCCCTAAAACAGAGAATTCCTAGGAAACACACCACTCCTTTATCCATCTTTTATTCTACAAGTTCTCTCCCTAAGGTGAAGAGGAAAAAAAGTCCTTTTTTTTTTCCTCCTTTTTTTTTCTCTTAAGTAGACGCAACTTTCTTTTCTTCAAAACACTTAATATAGAAGCGTCCAGCRCTTAATTCTGAACAGCATGACTTCACAATAAGCTCCTAGGAAAAATCCTTATTTGCAATTAATGATCACAGACTACTAAAACGACATTGCTGGGCTGCAGTGAAACCTGAAGTGCCTGCGCTTCACCTGTAKTCCACCTCCCTTCAGAGATCCAGAAGGCAAACCATTGATCAGAGCCTGCCTAATTCCAGATTGGTAATTTACTTTTAAAATAATTGTGACACATGCAACTTTTAAAATCTTTTAATGTTAAAGTATGTGAAGTTCTTCCCAGCATGTGAAGTCCTTCACTTGTCATTTCTACAACAAACAACCACAGGACAAGTCCAAAAGCTGCTCAGATTCACAGGAGCTGCAGTGCCAAACTGGCCAACATGGGGAGACAGAGCACAAGTGACAATAAAACCTCAAAAAAAAAAAAACCTTTCATCTATGTGTGGCCCCAGGTTCATGAGCYGAGAGCTTCAACACAGCATCAAATTTCTCCAAGAGAGATGAATATTTCACATAGTTCGGTTTATGTTTTGTTTCAGCTGAACTCGACACTTCTGAATTTCCCCCATATACATTGCAGGAAGAGAAAAATATTTTTTAAAAACGGACATTTTAAAATGTCCAAACATTAAAGAGACTTGAAACAGGAAAGACCACGGGCTGCACGCTACCTGTCACKGCTCGGCCCTGCCGCAGCAGGAAGGTCCATCCCCTCCGCACCGCTCCAGGCCCAGGGCAGGCAGCTGGGGCTTCACAAACCAGACAGCAGCGGAGGGATCCTTGGCTTGCTCCCTGCCCACTGGCACACACCACACAGCTTTATATTATGACTACAGCAGTAACGGGAGGCTCTGCTACCTGCCAAGTCAAATCCAGCCCTGTGTTTAATATTAAAACCTTATTTTGTCACATGAACAAAAATAAACCCCTCGCAAGCCAAGGTGGTGCGTTGCACATGCCATTCTCTGGTTTAAAATTCTCCTGATGGCTTCAGCAAGGCAGCTCAGACCACACCGGAGCGCTGCGCAAGCCTGGCGTGGTCCTTGAACGAGGTTTTACTGATCACAATATTTAATTCCAGCAAAGGAATCCAAGGAGAAAGAGGCCGCTCCATTTACAGAGCAGCATTGGCAGCCTCCTCGAGCCCCCCACCACCCTGCTCTCCATCAGGCTCTCCTGAAGCCACACACGGAGAACTGAAGGGCTGCTCCCCTCGGCAGCAGCATTCCCGGGGCATTTTCCCACCAAATAACCCAGCTTAAAAGGCTCAAAAGCCAAACTGGCCCTCTGCTTTAAAAGCAGCTTCGAAAAACCATGGGCTTCTCAGTTTAAAGAGCACTTTCATTGTCACTTTTGCAAGAAAAGGCAGCTCTGCTTTATTTCATGCAAGAAGGCAGCATTTCTGAAGTGCTGCTTCCAAATRTTACAGAGCCAGACAACGAGCAGAGTGTATTAGGTGCCTGGTTTGGGGAGTTTAAGAGTATGTGCACATAGATATATTAGGGGCACCAATCCCTGAAAATGGGGATTTAKGCAGGGAACCCTTTGCTCATTTTCTTCAGCCAGACAACAAGAGAAGCCCTCTTAGAACGGGTAGAACTTGACTCAGAGCACTCGCAACTCCTACCTGTCCAACAGCTGCTACATGATGAAAAGTGTCTTTCTTTCTTTCGAAATAAATCCTTCCTGCTGCTTTGAGCTATTGCAATATTGTTTTGAAGGCCATCAAAAATACAGGATTCCTGCACTTGTAAGTTTGGCACCAGCATGACGTACCACGAGCTCCATCATAAAGGGGTCTCAATTMTGCCTCAAAAAACCCTACCAGGAATGACTATTAATCTATAGCTCTAAGTACAGCCTGTCAGGACATTTTAGAAGTTCAAGACGTTGGTTATCTTGCACTAAATTTGACAAGGATTTGCAGTTCTGCTTGCCAAGACCAAAGTATCTCAGAGCTTCAGCTTTAGTAGTGTTTGAAGATTACATAATGCTCAGAGAGAGTTTCTTCTAGCTAGTGAAGATGCTTCTTATTATTGGCAACACGTAGGATTGATGTTAAAAAAAAGCCTCAGCTTTTACACTTAGCTGAGTGATGCTGACTTGTCAGACATCACAGGTTCTCATAGAGAAAACCGATGTCACTTCCCTTTCAACCACTTGCATCTGGCTAGAAACCAGCAACACAGGGTGCTCCTGTCCAAAACCAACAAAAAGCCTCTAGCAGTTTGCTGCAGCCACCRCGTTCAACGTCTTGGAGTCTCCAGCTTCTGGGAAGGATATTGGATAAGTGCTGATTAGCCCCGAAAAACAAGTTTTTACAGAGCCAGACTTCTGCAGACATGTTCCAGAGRGGCACTAAACACTTACTAATATAGGCCAGTTACAGTCAAATCCCAAAGAGAAAGAACAAACCTCCCTCCACCAACACCTACGACCCAGTCCTTCCAGCATCCTGCCTACCAGGGAATGGTTGCTTGAATGCAGCTCTCAGCACAAAAGTCTCCTTTGAGAACTGGGGTGACATGCTAAGAGGTGCCTATTTTCACAAGAAAATTCTTCACAGTAAGAACTGCCCTGAAAAGCTCAAGAAAACAGAGAAGTTTTTGCAGCCCAAAAGCACCTGCTTGCTCACGTGTTCTCACAGATTGTCTCCTGGTATTGACCAAAACATCTATTTTAAAGAAGAACACTTGGAAACATCTGACAAAATCACAGGAGGGTTATCTGGATATCAGATGGYTCTCACATCAGAACCATCGGCAGGAAATTCCATGGGCTCTCACAACGCTGAACATGCACTCGGAAAGGAAGTTTTACTGGAGTTGTTTGTATCTTGATTTAAGGAAATCTTTTACACATAAATAGGAAAACCAAAAGTGCAAAAATACATGCTCAGGGATTTCTATTAATGTAAAATTGGTGTCAGAAAGCAAGTGATGAGCAATGTTTTAGTCACCCATCTATGGCTACGCTTACTTGCTTCAAGATTTCTCTTGCAGTATGTCATATGAAATGTGTTTGYAATCAGCCAATTGGAAAACCTTTGGAAAAAGAGCAACTTAAATTGTTTTAGAGATTTACTCCAACATCTGAAACCAAACACAGGCAGAGGCATTTGCTCCACAGTGTTTTGAAGGTAAAGTTCTCAGTATTAACTACTCCATAGGATGCACTTAGAAACTTTATAGTCACCTATGTTGGAGTAAAACTTATGAATATTTTGCTGCTAGACCGTATGAGAACAGAACTTTACCTCACTGAGCATGTCATGTGTTTGTTGTGTTAAAACCATTACCTTGAACACAGAATGTT